ATGAAGTCAGTAACTGATATTTTGAGAGAAGCTCAGGCTCTCGGTTTGAATCCGGAAGCTATTGAAAGATTATTAGAACGTGAGCATGCTAAAGAAGAACGCGAGGAGCGAGCTTCTGAACGAGAGATGAAAAAATTAGAATTAGAATTAGAAGAGGCTGATAAGCGCCGTTCTCACGAACTCGCTATGGCCCAGTTATCATGTTCTAATGCCGAAAGTAAGGGTACGTCTCTCCAAATGTATGATAATTTACGATTGCCTACCTTTCACGATGGCCAAGATGAGATAGATAGCTACTTGCAGAGATTTGAGCGGTTAGCTACTCTACACAAATGGGATAAACAAGATTATCACGTTTATTTAGGATCAGTTTTGAGAGGTCACGCGTTGAAAGTATACGTATCGTTACCTGACGAGACGGTGAAAGACTACGAGAAGTTGAAAGAGGCTTTACTCAGAGCTTACTCAGTGGATGCAGATAAGTACAGACGTTTGTTCAGGGAGAGTAAGTGTGGGGAGAAAGAATCTTACATTCAAATGGTAGTTCGAATGGAGCAGTACTTAGACAGATAGATTTCCTTGAGTAATGTTGATAAAGATTATAATTCACTTTTCGATTTCTTGGTCAGAGAACAGATTCTTAATAATTGCAGTGCTGATTTAAGGGTTTTCTTAAAAGAACATGAATATAATAGTGCTACCGAAATGGCAGAGGCTGCGGAACGGTACAGGAGTGCGCATAATTTTCGCGGTCGATCGCAGAGGTTTTCTCAGCAGAGTAAGACTAATGTAGCGAAGGATAGTGAACCGATCTGCCATGGATGTGGTAAGAGTGGACATATTAGGCCTCAGTGTCCTGATAATCCTAGAAATTATAAGAAAATGAGCACTAGTAAAGTTAACTTTGTTTTTGAGTCGGAACTAAAACCAAACAGGTGTATAATTGATGATAATGGGTGTGTTTTCAATAGACGAGCTCAGGTAATGTTGGATTCTGGTTGTTCTACAATAGTTGTGAAAGATAGTCTTGTTCCATCAAATTACAAATATGGAAAACTTGTGAAGGTTTACGATTACTTGGGAATTGCTAATTATTTTCCTCAGATAAGATGTTTTATTAAATCGAAATTCTTTACTGGTTGGGTTAATGCCATAGCAGCGCCTATAAAATTTGCAGATATATTAATTGGACTTTTTCCAGGTGTTAAAATCCCGCCTGAATCCAAACCTGATGAATCTCCTGCTAATCTTGATCTTTTCGAATCGTCTGGAGATCCTTTTCCCCTTTCTAACCCTCCGAATCATTTGCCTAAGGTACGTAATGTTCTTTCTACATCGCCTGAGACTGTTATGAGGGTGGAGACTCGTGCGATGGCGGAACGATCAGATGAACGTAAGCCTCTGAAGTGTCCCGCGGTGACACAACTTGACATCAGTAAACGTGACGTCATCAAGGCGCAGAACACATGCCCTACTTTAAAGTCAATTAGGGAAAAGGTAAAGACAGGAAAAATAGACAATGTTAAGAATAGAGCAGTTAAATATGAAATAATTAGCGGATTAATCTATAGAATCTGCTTAGATAGTAAACTCGATCATGAAAAGGGTAGAAAACAACTAGTTGTTCCTGAAATTTATAGAAGTAAAATATTAAATCTTGCTCATGATTCACTGACAGCTGGCCACTTTTCACATAGGAAAACTAGCCATAAGATATTCCTTAAATTTTTCTGGCCTGGAGCAGGAGCAGACATCAAGCGTTATTGCAGATCGTGTCACATCTGCCAAAAGGTTTCGCACAAAGGCAGCGTTAAGAGGGTGCCGATGAAAACGGTTCCAGTCATTTCAGAGCCTTTCTCACGTGTCGCTATTGACCTTGTCGGTCCGATATCCCCTTGCTCCGACCGCGGACACAGATACATTCTGACCATGATAGATTATGCTACGCGTTTCCCCGAAGCCGTCTGTCTGAAGAACATAGACACCGTGACTATCGCAGAGAGCTTAGTTGAGATTTTCTCTCGTGTTGGCATCCCAAAAGAAATCTTGTCGGATCGCGGAACTCAGTTTCGATCAGACCTAATGGCCGAGATTCATAGATTGCTGTCAGTTAAAGCTCTGTACACAACCCCGTATCATGCGAGTTGCAATGGCGCGGTTGAACGTCTGAATGGAGTCTTGAAAGCAATGATTAAGAAGCTGTGCGCTGACCATCCGCGAGATTGGGATAGGTATCTTCCCGCCGTTCTTTTCGCTTACAGGGAAATTCCGAATGATTCGCTGAAGTTTTCTCCATTTGAACTCCTTTATGGAAGACCAGTCAGAGGTCCACTTACTATTTTGCACGAACTTTGGTCTAATGACGAGATCGATAATGAAGTAAAATCTACTTATCAGTACGTAACCGAATTAAGATCCAGATTAGAGGAAACTGCAAAATTGGCTGTTTCCCAAGCCGAGATAAGCAGCAAGACTTACAAAACCTATTATGACCTTAAATCTAGAAATCGCAAGTTAAAGGTGAATGATGAAGTGCTTGTACTCTTGCCCACTGATCACAATAAAATGATTATGCAATGGAAAGGGCCTTATCCAGTCATAGGCGTGAAAGATAATGGAGTAGATTATACCATCAAAGTGCGTGGAAAGAATAAGCTTTTTCACATAAATATGTTGAAGCGATACTTCCGTCGCGATGAAACTGTACCTGAGAAAAATAAAATGGTTAATGTATGCATTGTGGATGAAAATGATTGTGATAATGTAAATGAAACTATGTATCTCGAATTAACAAATAGTGAATCTTTAAATGTAGGACGTGATCTGAGTGTTCAACAGAAAGATGATGTAAATGTTCTTATTTCTGAATTTCCTGATGTTTTCACCGACAAGCCGGGTCACACTAAGTCTATAGAACACGTAATCAAGCTTGAGACCACTAACCCTGTTTGTAAGAAACCGTATCCTATACCCTATAATCTGATTGATGTTTTCAACAAGGAAGTTGACAAGATGCTTGATTTAGGCATAATAGAGCCATCTGTTTCACCATATTGTTCCCCGGTCGTTCTCGTGAGAAAGCGCGATCAAACTTACAGGTTCTGTATCGACTTCAGGAGCTTAAATGATGTTACAATTTTTGATTGTGAACCCATGCCCACAACTGAAGAATCTTTGGGTAATTTTGTTAATGATAAATATTTTACCGAGATAGATCTGAAATTAGGCTACTGGCAAATTCCTCTATCTTTGGAATCTAAGAAATATACTGCTTTTTCCACCAACAGAGGACTCATGCAATTTGTAATGATGCCATTTGGACTCAAAACAGCTTGTGCAACATTTGTTAGACTGATGAGAAAAGTAATTTTTGGTTTGAAGAATACAGATTGTTACTTTGACAACATTGTAATTCATAATTCTAATTGGTTTGATCATTTGCAGGATCTGAGGTGTTTGCTGAATAAATTACGGTTGCATGGCTTAACGGCTGGTATAAGTAAGTGCTTCTTTGGGTACAATAAAATAAATTATCTTGGAGTTGTTCTCGGAGAGAATGTTATTAAACCACCTGAAGACCGTATTAAAGCAATTGAGTTAATGCCTTTGCCAGACACTAAAAAAGAGCTAAGATCTTTCATTGGAACAATTTCATACTATAGAAAATTCATACCAAAGTTTGCTAACATTTGTGCTCCCATGAATGAGCTACTGAAAAAGAATTCAAGTAATAAACTGAATTGGAATAATGAACAAGTTTCTAGCTTTCTTGAGTTAAAATCCAAGCTCTCAGATAAACCAATCTTGTGTCTTCCTGACTATTCGAAGACATTTTTCTTACGTTGTGATGCTTCTGAGAATGGCATTGGGTCGGTCTTGCTTCAGGAACATAATGGAACAAAGATGCCTATAGCTTATGCTAGCCGAAAGCTACTAGATAGGGAAAAGAACTTTGCAACTATTGAAAAGGAATGTTTGTCAATCGTTTGGGCTATAAACAAGTTTAAAACTTACATCTATGGTAAGGAATTTGTACTAGAAACTGACCAACAGCCCTTGGTATATCTCAGAAACATGAGAAATTCAAATGGAAAATTAATGAGATGGGCTCTAGCTTTGCAAGGTTATTCATATAGAATACAGTACATAAAAGGTAAAGAAAATGTAGGTGCGGACGTTCTGAGCCGCTGTGTTAAGTAAATGTGTTATATGAATGACATAAAATCATTAGATTTTATGCTTGGTTATGGGGCATTGTAAAGGGATTATATAACACATTTACCTTGTATAAAACAATTTGTATATAGTGATAGCAGGGTTATCGTAAGAAGACTTTATTAACCCTATTCTAAAATACTCATTTAATGTTAAATATTAATACACATTAATTATGTATAATTAGTTTATTTATTTTTTGTTTTTGTATAAAAGTTAGTTCCTCGTAACCCCCTTACTGTAATGCGCATGCGCGTAGGTGTGCCTCACCTGGTTTTTCTTTTTCATGTAAGCGGTCACTTTGCCATACCACTTGTTCGAGTGAACACTGTGACCCTCGCCTCGTGAGTACGAAAGCTTTCCCTGAAAACGCTAATTCACATAGCGTGGTATATCGTAGGTGCTCTTGATTCATTATATTTATATATATTTCTTGTTTCCAGTTATTTTATGTCATACATGGCTTTGCTGACGCCAGGCGCCACGATATTTTGCCGCACGTGCCCCCGAGGTTAATCGGAGCAGCGCCAAGCTTGAACAAGCCCCGTGACACCTGGGCCGTTTGACACGCTTGCTTGGGACGTGGACATTTACATTGTTTATTTTCGTTTGTTTATAATTGTAAATATATGGTGATGGTTATATCTTCTTTTTATACCCCCTTTTTAATGAAAGTGATAAGATGATTAAGTGATGTGATGAATCCAATGACGAAATGACACCATATTAACAAAAGATCCTTTACAAAAGGTGAAAATAATAGTAATAACAATGATACTAGTGAT